GTCCAGGACAGCATCCACTCACCTGAGATGCTGAGGCCGGAGAAGTCATCATGGAGAATGTTCAAGATCAGCAGGTCCTTATTGTTGTGGATCAGTTTGGCCACGGAAACCACCTGGTCATCAACTGGAAGGCACAGGGAGAGTGGGGTCCTCTGCTGGTGAGCATCGCCCTGTGCTGGGGCTCAGCCTGGGCAGAGCCGGCAGGTCTGCCCATCCCCTTTACCCCTCAGACAGTCATCCCAGTGGTGCATGGTTGTGTCCCACAATGCCCCTCATGGCATGGGGTGGGTGAAATTCCCCCCTCAGCCTCCAGACGTCTGTTTAGGTGTAAAACAGTTTTGTGCAAGAGTCTCGGGTTCCAAATACTGGGTGGCAGAAGTGGAAGGGTGCAAGGTGTGGCTGTGGGTGCCCTCCCTTTCACCTCCCCTCCATCCCATCCCCATGCCTTGTCTGGGCCTTTACCGTGCATCAGGGTGGAGTTGTGGAAAAAGACGTGGATCTTGCTGGTGTTCCTCACCACGCACGTCTCGTTCCTGCAGGGCAGAGAGGTGAAATGGGACCAACACCCCCAAACTCCCCCAACCGAGGGATCTGGGACTCCAGCCAGGCTGTGGAGCTTCAGTAAATTTGGTGTGGCTGCTGCCCAGCCTCAAATCTGTGGGGATGCCTTGACCCAGTGGATGGAGCCAATGGGTGGAAATGCCCCAGGGGATGTAGGAGTGGGGCAAGGGAGTGAATCTCTGTCCTTACAGTCTCATGACTTCGTCAACGTTGAGTTCATCCTCGTGGCTGCTGGGATAGATGTTAAAAGCTGCGTATTTCAGTGCCTTCAGCTCTACCAGGTGAGGCGGGTACTTGGAGGAGCCGGCGATGTAGACCCAATCTCCCAGGAGCTGCGGAGAGGAGGAGAGCGGGGAAGGGGTTTGGGGATTGCAAAATTGCAAATAAAAGCAGTTGCTGTGCCCCTCTGCTCCCTGGCCTCAGGCAGCCCCATGTGAAGGCCCTGGTGTGGGTGAGGGTCTCCTGGCTGATGATGGGTGCAGAGCTGCAAGGCTTCACCCCTTCCCCTGCCCCTGTGCTGCAGGCTTGATGTTTGTTTTTTGAAAATAAGCATGGACAGGCAATGAGAGAAGCGTTGAGCTGCTGATTGGGTTCATAACCCTTTCCTGCACCCGCTGCTGATGGGAAAGGCGAGGACGGGCACCCCGGCTGAGGGCAGGGCTTACCCTAGGGATGGTGTCATTGTCGAAGGTGACCGGGACGAGCGGGGCGCAGCTGGGGGCCTCGGCGGCGAGGGCGAGCGGCAGCCCCAGGAGGAGGGGGAGGGAGGCCAGCATGGCCCGGGTGGAGAGAGGAGGCTCCTGCAATGACGGGACACAGCTCGGCTCTGTCCCTTATATAGGGTGCCTGCAGCACTGGGTGTCCCCAGTTCAAGTGCTTGTTCAACCATTGGGCTGTTTGCTCAGGCATGAAGCAATAGCAGGTGGAGGAAATTAAACTTGCAAAAGCTTGGATTACTCTAGCAGAGAAGACGAAAAAAATAGCCAATAAAATCCCCAACAACCTAACTGAAAACCAACCCCCATGTTTGGCCATTGCAGGCTTTTGTTCTTGGTAACTGCCATTAATTTTGTGGGTGACTGGCAAAGTGGTTGGCCATGTCCAGGTGTGTTTGTGAGTGGGGCCTTGGGGGCATCGAGTGGCACCTGGATGTGGCTCTTCTCTACAGGGCAAATAAACCCCCATGGCGGTGGCTGCTCATCCGTGGGCCTGTCAGGGCTTTGGGCCTGTACCAGTGTTGCTCCTTGTCAGTGCACAGAGCTGGTGCTGAGCTTCAATGGTGGTCTCGGGGGAGGAATTGGAGTGGGGAGTGTGTGGGTGCTGCTGGGGATGATGCCGTGAGCTGGCTCTGCAGCCTGGGGTGTGCGGCAGGACTAGGCCCCGCACAAACTGGGAGTCCTCAGTTCAGGAGAGATGTGGACCTGATGGGTCCAGAGGAGGCTGCAAAAATGGACCGAAGGATAGAGCACCTCTGCTGTGAGGAAAGGCTAAGAGAGCTGGGGTTTTTCAGCCTGGAGAAGAGAAGGCTCTGGGAGGACGTTATAGCAGCATCCGCTACTTGAAGTGGACTTATAAGAAAGGTGAGGATGGACTTTTTAATAGGGCTTGTTGTGCTAGAAGTCGGGGTAACAGTTTTAAACCAAAAGAAGGGAGATTTGGGCTAGATATAAGCAAGAAATAGTTTTATGATGAGGGTGGTGAAATGCTGGCACAGGTTGCCCAGAGAGGTGATGGATGCCCCATTCCTGAAGACATTCAAGGTCAGGTTGGACGGGGCTCTGAGCACCCTGAGCTGCTTGGAGATGTCCCTGCTCATGGCAGGGGGCTTGGACCAGATGGCCTTGAAAGGTCCCTTTCAGCCCAAACTGTTCTGGGGTCTATGATAAGCTGCAACAGTTTAAAACAAATTAAAAATCCCCCAAACCAAAATGTCCCAACATCTCCTTCCCCTCCCCAGTATGCCATGAAATTTGCAGGGGTTTTGCCCTTTCCAGCTGAGCTCCGTTGCATGCTCCTTGAGGTGATAAAGTGGCATTTGGGTGGTGGATGCTGGTAACTCACCTAGCTGCGTATTTTAAGTAACCTAAAATAACTGGTAGGGACAGGGGCTTGATTAATAAATCCTGGAAGGAAGGGGGGTCGGGGTGTGTATGAGACAGGGAGCAGTGGGTGCAGGTGTTTAAAAAAATAATACATTATAATGTCTTTGAACGCGGATCTCACTATTTAACAGTGCCTTATACCTCCTCCTGCTCTGGCCTCATAATTAAACACATTGATTTATTTATTTATTAGCTGTGTTTGCTTTTTCCCCTGGCCACAAGCGATGCGTTTCGGAAACAGTTGGCTCACATGAGCCATGGTCAGCCCCGACCCAGCCGGGTTTTAATGCACCGCCAGCGCTTTCCTGGCACTGTCCCTCACCCCCCCAGCAGCTCCCCCATGCTTGGGGGTGTCCCCTTGGCCTCTCCAGCCCCAGCGCTGCTGGGAAGGGGCACAACACAGGGTGAGCAAACACAGCACAGCTCCTGACGCAACCTGGGACCAGCTCCCACAGCTTGGTGTAAGCATGGGGTGTGTGGGGGTCACCCTATGTCCCCTTCCCCAGGCTCGGGCCTATGGGGGCTTCACTGCTGTCTCCCACACAAGCGCTGCCTGGGGCAGCCATGAAGCTTTAGTCTGAGGCTGGGTTGAGGCCAGGCAAGCTCCTGGGTTTCAAAGTCAGCTTGGATTAACTGAGATGTGATTTTGGGCTTCAAAAATGATCACCTCAGGTTTGTGTATTTTTATTTTAAATTTAAAAAATTTTTTTCTTCCTCTTTGCTCCCCAGTCCAGTCTCAGGTTGGGGACACAGAAGAGGGTGGTGGTGGTGGTGGAGTGACGTACAGCGGTGGGGAGCCATCGGGATCCCAGCCTTATCATGCTGAGGGTTGTGCAGGTTGTGCTGTGCCCGGCACCAGAGGAAGGGTTTTGGGGTGTGCATTGGGCTCCCCAGGTCACCTGGGGGGGGTCTCTGGGCTGTCAGACCACCATCGCCATCCCTGAGCAGTTCTGCACCTCTCTCCCTCTTATTCTCCCATGAAGAAGCAAAATAAAACCATACCAGTCCCATTTCATTGCCTCAGTTTTAAATATTTATTTAAAGTTAAAAAAAAAAAAAAGAGAAGAAAAAAGGAAAAAAAATAGCTTTCATGAGAACAAATGGTAACTCCAGCCTTGAGAAAAGACACAAAACTGATGGAGAAAGGACGAGAAAGGGAGAAATTCGGGAGTGTGGGGGTGTGTGTGTGTGTGGGGCAGGCAGCAAGCAGGCGATGAGCGATGGGGATTCTGGCCTGGGGGTGCCGGGGCGAGCCGGCCCCGCGCGGGGGTGAGGTATTTCGGAGCGGAGGCAGGGCTGCACAGAGGGTGAGGTATTTGGGACAGATCTTGTTAACCTTTTCCAATGGTTGTTGGAAACCAACCAACAGGCAGTAGTAAAAAAAAAAAAAAATAAAAAAGAATACACAAAGAGAGACTCACATATAAATTTTTTTTCCTCAAAAAAATAAAATCCATAGTCCATATGAGACATGAAAACTCCAAACAGGCACTGAAGCATTTCTGATACAGTACAGCTCCGATTACATCAATATTATTCCTTATATAGAATTAAAGATTACCATAATTATCCTCTTTAAAAAAAAAAATCCTCCAAATTTACATATAGAGACTAAATTTCTACAAAACTTAACAAAACCAAACCCCTCCAAGCCCGGCTGGGTTCTGAAACAAGGTACCATCGTGTCAGTCTGGACAGAGGGGCCAGACAGAAGGGGTGCAGAGCTGGGTTTAAATACGAGTTTAGACCAGGGAGTCGCGGTACGCGGGGACGCGTGGCCACCGCGACGACAGCAAAACTACTTACACGGCAAGCAGCTCGCTCTGAGGCTCAGTGCGTCCAGACGAGCTGTACCCCTCGCTCCCCTCCCAAAGCAGTGAAGTGCTGATTAATAATAATTATTGAAAAAAAAAAACCTAATTTGCTTTTAAAATATCGTGTGAGTTATTTTGGATGCGGTTTGAGTTGTTGTGCACGATTGACACACACGGCCGTTAAAGGATCCCTTTAAAGGTGACGGTTTCTCCGATTTGGCTGTAGATTGTGACCTCCTCTCTTCCTAGAGAGGTGGTCCTATGGGCTTTTTTTTTTGGGTCTGTGGCAAGACACTGTAGCACCTTCACAACCTTAAATAGTTTAAAGTCATATATATATAAAATAACACACTTTTTTAAGAGCACCAGAGATTTCACAGTGAGAGGTAGAAACGAATCAGACGAGCCCATCCTCTCTCTCTATTTTAGCACCAATCTCTTCCCCTCTCCTCCTTCCACTCCCCACTCTTAGCTTCGGGACCTTCCCCTACCCCGAGAGCACACGTGAGAAGGGACGTTGATTAAACTCACCCGTGGAAGGAGGAACTTAGTTTTTTTTTCTTTTTTTTTTTTTCCTTTTTCTGTTTGCTTTAAATAAAATAATATATATATTTTGCTTCTTCTAATATTGCACATCAAAATGCTTCCGGTACACAGAGCAGCCAGATTCACCTTGCAGCTCCGCCTGGGAGACCTGATGCAGCATGTGGCCATCCAGAAAGCGAGAAGCTCTGAGAGGGAAGCTCTATCTTTTAATTACTTTTTCAATGGAAAGAACATTTGGTAACTCAGGAACCAGGTAAGACAAAATGGGGAGGTGTGGGGGGGGGTGGGAAACAAACCACACGCTGCAAGTTGCTTGAGGTTTCTCTCAATATTTTCTTTGGTCATGGAAAAAGCTTTGTGTGTGGAACCGCTTGCAACATCTCATCCCCTGATCCCTTTTTGCTGTTCACGTCCCGACTGAGACCCACTTCCCCTGCGTCCGTGTTACTCCTCCTTAAACCATCTGCTGAGTTCAGTAGATCACGGGTTCCTTGAGACCTTGAGCTAGAGCAAGAGTTGACCCAAAAGATACAGCCCAGCTGTCCTAGCTGCAGGGAGGCGGGAGAGCCTGCGTGGAGACAGAGGCCGAACACGGGGTCAAAGCCTCGGAGCCCGGTTTCGGTGGCTTTGTTCAAAGGAAGCAGACAGGGCCGACCTCGAGGTGATATTGCTTTCCTGGCTCGGATGGGGGGAGGTTGTAGATGTTGACGATTGGCAGCTGCTGAGGGTCCTGCGTCCGAAACGAAAAGAGAGTCCGATGCCAGCGTCCATCCTTGATCTGCTCAGGGAGGAGGGACAGAGAAAAAGCTGTTTAACCAGGGGAAAATCCTGCAGGAAAGGAATGCGTTTCATGAGGTGCCAGCTTGAAAAGCTCTGCGTGAGACAAGGGGCTGCCCTTTGGGTCGAGCGGGTCTGGGGTGAGGTTTAGGAAGCATTCTGGGGAACCCTTTATCCAGGCTGAGTTGATAGAAACTGAGCTTGAAACAGTGTCACCAAACACAAACCCTAAATGCAGACACGCGACTACCGACCCAGCGTGGCACTGGGCAAGAGCCAAGGCCACTGCCTTCGGTGGCAAGTCCCCCTTCTGCCACTTAACGGCTCCTGCATGTGATGTGACTTGGGGAATTTAATTTTTTGCTTTCTGTTTCAAGGCTGTCTACTTACCAGGAGCTGTTATAGCACCCTGGACAGGAAAATTAAAGTGGTGAACAGGTAAACTAGACCCTTCTTCCCATGTTTTGGGGGCTTTTTAAGAAGCACAGGTTTAACCTGAGCCTGAGAGGGTTCAGCCTGGCCCTTCTCTCCACGTCTCCCCTCTTTTGCAGCACTGTACCTTGCAATCATCAGCTGCCACTTCTGGCCTGAGCTGCCCGTCCGCCTCAAACATCTGCCCGTTCCAGGCCCTGAAGCGCACGGCTTTTTCGGAAGGTTTCTCGGAGGAGCCCTCTCGCCAGACGGAGGTGTTGAGGCAGTGGATGGTGATGTGCTGCACCACCTCTGAGCTCAGCAGGCGGAGGAAGTTCATCTGGACTCGACCGATGTCAAAATCCAGCTGGGAAGGGGACAAGAGACGTTAGGGCAAACCCCTGCAGACCCCTGGGTTAGTGCAAGGTGTGACAGCACAGGAGGTCTCTGAACTCTGTTTAAGTCTGTGGGTTGCCATGCACAAATGTCCAGAGCTGGATCTGGTGTGAGCATGGGCATAAGGACCAGATGCCAAATCCACCTGGAAAATTTTCATGCGGGCAAAGAAAGTCTTTCATTTTTCAGAGCAAACTGGCAGGTCCATAAATAGGAGGAAAAATTGCAAACGCTGAATTCAGTACACACTTCTGCAAAGCAGCAGGTTCTAGTGCATCTGCAGATGAACCCATACACTGTTATTGGTATTTTTTGGTACGAGTGATTCCTCAAGAAAAAGATCTGTAGCATTAACTTCACTGGAAACTTGTATATTTAAGCGGACTTCACTTTTTGAGGTGACAGAAAACAAAATGCAAGAATGACCTGAACGTCAGTTAATTCAACAAAGCATTTGGGAGCAGCATGTTCGCAAAATTACTGGCCTTAACAGGGTTATGGGTTAATTAAACATTGCTGGAAATGTAGTGCTTTGTCTTGACAAGAGTCAATAACAGTCCTGGGGATATTTTTTAACTGCATGGGAGAAGCTCTGAACGCTACAGCTACACCAGCTGGGCCTCGAGGAGAAGCCAGTGTGCTGTGTCATAGTGGTCACCGTCCAGTGTCCCAGGACAACATACCCTGGGTAAATATTTCGTAACAGCAGTACGGAAAATGCCGTGCTGGGCTCGATCAGTGTGTACCTTGGAGACGGTGATGGGGCTGAGACACGTCTGCCCGCCATTGGTGAAGTTACAGATGACCTGGATGGTGTCTGAGGAACAGCCAAGATTTGGGTCAATCCAGTAGGTACCTGAAGAAACAGAGGATTCGGGGATTAACAAGGACACATAAGCTTTTCTGTGAATGAGAAAAGGAAAGTTTGGATTTCTGCATTACTGGTCCTGGGGAAGGAGCCCAGTTTGGGCCATGTGAAACAGCCCTATGGAGGAGGCTGTCTTTGCACACTCGGGGTTCCTACCATCGTTCATCTTCTGTTCACAGTTCATGAGGTCTCGACAGATGCGTGCAGGGTTTTCCTTGGTTCCCAGGGGTCTTTTGATGCTCTGAATGAGGTTGCTGAGGTAGTGTAGAGTCTTAAAGATCTCCCCTCCGTGGTCCAGCATGAGAAAGTCTGGATGTTGATAGCCCTGGAGAGAAAAGGAGGCAAAGTCAGGTGAGTCTTGGGGGGCACCAGGTGCTGCAACCACAGGGGTTTCTCCTTTATCTCTGGGAGAACTCAGTAGGTCCAAGGCAGCTTCACAAGTAACACAACTGAACCATGTCCTTTAACTGGGTCTTTGCATGCATAAACCCCAGATATTCCACAAGAACAGTGACAAATCAAAGCATTGTGTGTATAAACTTCAAGCACACAGAAAGAACAAGCGACGCTGTGACCATTTCCAGCCTCCAGCTCCAAGTAAAGACCAGTGAGTTCAAAAGTACCCTCGTACCTCCATCTTGAGCGCTGTGTTGGAGTCAATTAGTGTCCGGAAAGCTGCCCCAAAGTCGTCTTGCTGCTAGTGTGGGGTGAAAAAGATGGTAACAGATTGTGAGAAGCTGAACACGCCCTGATGCAAGCAAATGCTTCTCAGTCTAGGGCTGCGATGCAAGCGTTGCTCTGCTAACACTGCATCTCTTGCTGGACCTGAGTGAGTGTCTCCAGAGTCCCAGCAGCTCTGTCTGGATGCCCCATCAGCACCTTGGCTCTGCATGCCTTATTGGCATCATTAACAAACGTACAGAAAACGGCAACTTACAAACGCGGCTGGAATTCCTGGTGGTCCCTACAAATCAAAGCAAAAAAAAAAGGGCATCAGCCAGAAAGATGGGCAGTCGCTACTGCAAAGATATTGAGTCCCGTCCTTTTGAAATCCTCTTTTCCCTGGAGTCCCTCAATGCAGACAAGTCAGAGAGGCAACAATGCTGCTTCTGTAAAATCCTTGGAGATGGTTTGGACTAAAGCGCATGAAACACTAGTCCATTCACACACACAGTTTTGCATACGAGGAATGGGGCTAAGCTATAATTTCCAGTAAGTGAACAGTCTCTCTGGAGAGTATCAGGGCAATAATTTTAGCTTGTTTCAATAATGTCTTTGAACTCTTTCCACATATACATACCGGAGGGCCAGGGTGTCCTCGTGGGCCTGGAGGACCCTAAAGACAGAGTGACATCAGTTAGTGAAATGTCTCCAGTTCGTATTTCCACTTCTCATGGCCATCACCAGCCTGAGTCTGTTCCCTGCTGAAATCCTCCAGATTTTTGACATTTTACAGCATCTTCTCTCTCAAACACTTCTGGCCCTATTTTGTCCATCTCCTGACTTCGTGTGCTTCTGTCTGCACCTGGTCCATTCCTACTGCATCCCTTGTTTCCTGCCTTCAGCTCCTGAACCACCATTAGTGCCATATCCCCAGGCACTTGTTGAATTCCCTGTGGGCACCATTACCCACCCTGCAGCTTCACATTTCCCAAAAGCAACTGTTTTATTTAAATAAAAGATATTAGTCAGAGAAAGTGATTTCAGGTACTTACCCTTGGACCTGGCAGACCCTGCAGGAAAAAAAAAATACGGAAGAAGCTGTCAGAAGATGCTCATTAATAACCCAAAATCTCCCTGTACAGCCATGTGCTGTTGCCGAGGTGCCTGTGCAAGGACTGAGCGCTGCACTGGATGGATAGGGAGAACAGGGGCCTGACAATGTTTGCCAATACCAGAAAGGTTACTGCAGCAGAAGGTGCTGATGGCTCTGACACCAGCAAATGCTCACTTTGGGGCTCAGGTCTCTGCTAACACCATCCTTTGCTGGGCCCATGGTGCCTCGACCAAGCCCCTGCATGCAAGACCAATCACTGGTTGCTAAAGGAGAGCAGGTGGGCCCACGTTATGGGTAACAAGGAGGGTGAACAGCACGTAACCAATATACCCCATACATCCCCTGTACAGTGAGAACACCACGGAGATACAAGAAGATGTAAAAGTCCATCAGAGCCCCTGCAAGAAAGGGACCAGAGGAAGAGGAGAAGGCAGGGACAGCCTGTGGCTTTTTGAGCTCCCATTCACTGTGGTCTGTTCCTGGAGACACCACCGTCGTAGCTAACACAGTAAAGTGTTGGCTTTTGGTGTGCAATTGGGTTAAGCAAACGGAAATTTTAGCAGCAGCATGGGCATATATGTGCACGCGTGGATCTGCGGGCACATACGTGTGCACACATGTAAAGACGTGTACGTTGTGCCCTGGTGGGAGCCTGATGCCACCACACCAAGCCCAAGCCGGTGCAGGAGACCCCAGCGTGACTCGGTTGCTCAATGAGGACCCACTTGATGGCACCCAGTGGTGTGGACCAGCACTCACCATCTCTCCACGGCTGCCTTTGTCTCCCTTAGGCCCCTGTTAAAGCACACGAGGTGGCTGTCAGTGACTGTGAGCTGCACCATGGAGCGTGTTGTCACCCAGAAACACCTTGCAAGGCCCCAAGCACATCTCTAAACAAACCAGCTCAGGCTGCCACCTTGGCCCACCCATCCCAAGGCCAAAAACCAGCCATTACCGGATGTTTTGGCAATGTCTGAGTTCATCTCACTGGTTTTCAGCTCTGCCAGTAGCAGCCTCTGTACTGAACTCTGAGTAGCTTAATGCTCGTGTTTTTATGAAGCGCTGACCTGAACTTTAGTCTCTGTTCAGCGCCTTTGGCATTTTGGGGCAGGCAGGGATTTTCAACACTTCCCAGAATCAAGCTGTTCCCGGTTTAATGCATTTATCAGTTGGTTTTTTTGCCCCCCTGAGGCCAAGTTCTTCGGAAAATCTGGCAGCTTGCTTTTGAAAAACTGCAATAACATTCTTGTCTTCTCATATGAGCCCATCTATCGAAAAACTTGCACTTAGGTAAAGTTGCTCCTCATTTTTTAAGCTAATAAACTCCCTACTAGTACGTGTGCAGCCAGAGACTGGACTTCTCTCAAGCTGCTCATCTTAAAGACCATTTTGTTTCCCTCCTAACAGCACGACTTGGGATTTACTTATGCTGCCCTCAAGCATCTCAGATCTCAAACACTACACTCTTCTGAAAAATACAGGCAGAAAAAAATCATAAATACTTACTGGGCTTCCCATGGGACCCTGAATGCCAAGCGGACCAATAATTCCTTCTTTTCCCTAGAAAATAAAAGATATGCATGAACCATCACATGGGAACAGACGGTCACTTTCACCATGGCAGACTCAGTAAATACTCTTGAATCTCTTTGCTGCTTTTCAGCAACGTGATTGTGGTATTTGCTGTAGCTGAAATAAAACAGCTTCAGGATGCAGGTCCAAAGACACAAGCCCTCACAGTATGGTTGTCACAACCCATGTAAAACCTCAGAAATTCCAGAAATAGAAAGATTTCAGTGTAGCCGGAGCACAGTGGTCATAGCAGCACGACTGTCTCCAAGGCAGGAGAGACCCACAGACATGTGGTTACCTACAGATGTGTCCGGGTGGCTCAGAGGTGGCACCACAGTGCGCTGAGCTCCCTACAGCACCCTGCAGGCTCACAGAAAGAGAGGATGGAGGAAGGAAGAAAATCCTCCCAAACCAAACAAACCGAAAAACCACTCACCATGAGACCAGGCGGCCCACGGGGTCCCTGAATGCCTTTGAAACCAAGGTCTCCTGGGGGGCCCTGCAGCGAAAACGAGATGCCAGGTCCCCTTAATGAACATACCCCACACTTATGCCCTTGCTTACAGCTCTGCTGCAAGGACAGAGCTGCTGCCTCTTGCATATGTGAAGGTCCATTTTTAAAAAATTCTCCTGTTTTGCAAGCCCTCTGCTTTCTACAGAAAACAAACCGATCCCCCTTCACCAGGAAAATTACATGCTGATAAAATGAGTCTGAATTTCAAGTAGACTCTCAACATTAGGAATGCATATTGGTGTCTCAGGTACAGACTGATGACTGATGCTGGAAATATGAGTGTCTGAAAGACATTCAAGTGGGGAAACAGCTCTGAGGTCTATAGGACACCTCTTTTCCCTCTACTGTCTACCCATTTTAACAGGAATAAGGTCCAACAAGGTGTATGTAAACGTACACTCAACAAATAAAGATGCATGAACTAAAGAAAGTTGGAATCACAATTCAACCTCAATAGCTTTGCAGAGTTGCTAATAAAGTCTTTGCAATGTGTATTGCACTGTCCATCCCCGGTAAAGAGAGACTCGAAAGCCAACTGGTCACAAGGCTCTTACCTTTGGCCCAAACATGCCGGCAATCCCTGGAAATCCTGCCTCGCCAAAGTCTCCCTGCAACAACAGCCAAGACAAATACAAGAACAAAGAACAACGGTAAGCTCACGCTGAACCTCTGGGCACTCCGAGATGTGCCAAGAGTTCAGCAGCTTCAGAGAAGGAGAAATCCTTCAGCATTCCTCAATCTAAGCGGGACTGGTGAGAAAGAGTATGAAAGAAATCTGACAGAGGAATCACACAAACATCAGGCTAGAAACAACTCCAGAAGATCTCATAGATTGCTTAGATCTCATAGACTAAGCCTTTTGGCTCCCAAAATGGGAGGCATACTTACACTATTTCTAGCAGATGTCTACCTTGGACCACAGTCAGCAGAGGCAGGATGGAGATCATCCACTCTGAGATTGACCCTGGAAGTTCATGCTGCAAAAACCAGCCTCAAAGCTCTTTAAAACAAGCTCTTCTTTTATTTCTAACACCAACTGCACTGACCTAGTACAGGATAATTTCAAACTATGCTCAATCAAGCTGTCAAAAAAGTGCATGTTCCTACAGCATAACTTCCTGCTCAAACCCAGGAAAACCACGCATATCCCCTAATTCTTTTCCTATTCAACCCTGCAGGGATTTTTGCTCGATTTCTCAAGAAAAATAAGAATAAAATATTTGGAAGGCCAACAAGCTTGGATTAGCACATAGCATGCACCCTGAGACTAAAACCACCACACTGGGTAGCATGTCCTTACATAAACACCCTCATTTCACCACGCTTGAGATCTATGTCCTCTGATATTTCTGGGCTTCTCAGATGTCAAAAAGTGAAATGATTCAATGCTAAAAAAATGGGTCTGAAACATACACCAGATGATTCATCTTAGGAACATCAGAGATGGAACAGGCTTGTTTGGACTCTCGGCAGGACTATGTGACCCATGCTGGATTGTACTTTACGGGATGTTTTACAATGTCTTGTTCAGCCCAGTTGTAAATGACTCAAGCGATGGGGTTTCCATCACCTCTGTTACGAGGCTATTCCAGAGTCAGTCTACAGAGCTCACTCTTAGGTTTTTCCTGCCATGACGGTGAAACAGCTTGGCAAGAAAGGGCTTTGTGGGACTCAGTGGAGTGTAAGAAACTTTCCAAGGATACAAATTGATTTAACTGCCCATTTATGGATCCTGGAAGGGAAAACTGCTACTAACACAGGACTAAGGTCTTTCCTGCATTAGGAGAACCAACTAATTCCTCTTTCTAGAGGGATTTCTAGAGGAAATCCCAGCCCATGGATCTGCACCCTCTCCTGCAGGACACAGCTTGGAGCCAGGTCTGATCTGCTCTGTCCACCACTAACCGGCTGTCCTTTGGGTCCTGGGTCACCAGGGCTCCCTGGAAGACCTGTTCCTCCTGATGATCCTCGCTTCCCAGTTTGGCCAGTCTGTCCAGGCAATCCTCTTTCACCCTAAAAATAACAGAATTCAAGTAATTCCAAAGGACAGGAGCTAAATATAACAACACTCAGCTGAAATAGCCATAGATGGAAAGCTGGAAAAAAAAGTGACTCAACGGGATAAGGGATGTGGTTTCATCAGGAGATGCCGCAGGTCTGTTATGGCAGGTTATTGTGGGATGCAGAGTGTGACACCAGTGGTGGGCATGGCTGTGTCCCCTCCTCAGCTTCACACAGAGCAGGAGCTTCAGCACAGACAGCAAGGGGGTGAAATGTCTCCTGTTTGCACTTCCGTGTGTTGCCTGTCCTGCCCTGCAGTTTCTCATAATCTCTTCCCCCCAGTAGGCAATTGGTGATTAATCCATCGAAAATGTTGAAGCCATGCCAAGACTTCAGCTGGAGGACTTTCAATCCAGAGGCCACAAAGCCAACATTTTCCCCAGCATCAACTCCACAACTTAAGGACAAGAGATGGGCTCCTGAGACCCAGCACCACACTTTGCTCCCCACCTCTTCCCCTTGCCAAGTGCCAGGAGCAGCACAAGCCCCAGCTACTTGTTCTGGGTCAAACTGGAAGACAGGAGCAAAGGCTGTGAGTGCCTAGGATGGTCGAGGAGCTGGAAAAGGGGCAACAAATTTCCCTGGAGTCAGGATATGAGTACACAAGGGTCTTTAAGTAATTTCTGGTAACGGCATGTTATTCTACCCAAGGCAGCTGGAGGGCAGCAAGTGACAGTTTAAGAGTGATGCGTTATGGGAGACATAATTTAAATCAGACCTGATACCCTCTCCAAACCACGCTGGAGTCTTCCTACGTACAGAGTCTTTCTACAAATGGCTGAATTGCTGTTGGTCCAGTTTAGATCCTGTGGCCAGCCTGGACCAGGGCAAGGACCAGGAAGAAACCCCAAAGCCACTAAAGCAGCTTGTCCCTGCTTCCACCCAGAGCGATGGCCAAGCCCATACCGGTCCCAGCTGTTCTGATCCAGTAACTAGATGCAAAAAACAAGGGGCACCAATTTCCCTTCAGTAGTTCAGGCCTCGCAGGGCAGCATCTCGAGGTCACCTGAATTTCCCATGGAGTTGTCCATCCTGGACATCCTACAGGCAGGCTGTAGCAATTCCTTTGCAACGTCTCCAAGGCCATGATTTTTATCCAGGTTTCCAGTGAAAGAAGGCTGAAGTGTTCATGGTGTGGGTATGTGTATCTGGAGGCTCCTGAGCTCAGTCAACTTTGACAAAGGAGGAGAGGCCTCTGGGACATTCAGTGGCTGTGAACTTCATGAAAATGGATGGATGAATGGATGGATGAGGAGAAAGATCTACTTAGCCTCCAGCTAAGG